CCCCCCCTCCTTTTCCTCCTCCCACCCCTCGCAGTTGTCAGTCTGCTGGCTCCCGGTCCACCGCGATCGACATACTGGGCACGCCTGCCTTAAAGGCCAAGTGTGAAGTAAATTGGCCAACAATGTTTTTGAGTAATATCAATGGCTGAACAATTATAAGCATATTTCCGTTATTTTTTTTCACGCAAACCTTCCAGATTCTTTATTTAACCCAGTGCAACGCCCTTGACAACGAAAATGCTTTTCTTCGGCAATCTTCGGAAATGACGTCACATGGAGAACTGTGAGGGAAGTCTTTCCATTGCACAGCATTGTTGCATTGCTTGTTGGTAAGATGCCACGGCGGTGTGTGGCGATGTATTGTTCGCAATCCACAGAAAATGTCTACCAGTGGCCGAAGGATAGCAGGGCACTTAAATGGACATGTTTTACTCGCACGAAGCGAATGAATTTCACGCCCTCATTCTCCACTTCAAAGATGAACAGCTTTCTCAACCGGTCTGCTTATGATCAAGGATTTGCAAAAAAGTAAGTCTGATTTTTGGATAGATGATGATGATTTTGTCAAAGCATAGCTGCCAACTCTTGTGGAATGAACAGTAGCATAGCTGCCAACTCTTGTGGAATGAACAATAGCAGGTTGCGACGTTAGCCGAAAGCTAAGTCGAGAAGCTAGCAACATTGAACAGAAGCTAGCGACGTTAGTTTTCGGCTTGAGGCAAACCACGATCGATGCCATTCATATCAGCGATGAGTAATCATGGCAGTCAGACCAGTTGTTCTGGAAGTACATTTCAATAGGTTGGCAGTGCTGCTTTGTTGACAAATGAACATGCCATGTCCTCTTGGTCAACTGTGCGACTAGCCCATAGGCAGTGAACTGCTTTGTAGATTATATGCGGCATAATTACATGCCAATTATTTTAATCTCTTGATGCGTATTAAACTTATCTTTTAGAGTGACGAGACTGGGGGAAGCTATGGAATGGAACTCGAGGGCCTGAAAAAATGCCGTCAAGGAGTTGGAAGGCTTCAATGTAAAAGTTGTCGTCACTGACAATGACAGGCATCGCCAGGTGCTGAAATGGATCAGGGAGAATTGGACCCAAGTCATCTTTTGATTGTGATTGTTGACACATTGTTAAAAGTTAGTGTATTTCAATGTTTATAAATACGCTAGTTTTGGGATTATGTCTTCTACATCATGCACGTCACTTCACGAGTTTTCATATCATATTGACCCATATGTCATCCAAATATTTATCATCGCAATATGTTGTTGTTTTTTTTTTTGTAGACTATGTGAATGACTGCCTGTCAGAGGTGATGAAACTGACTGCCATTTAAAATAAGTCCAGAACTGGTGATGTGTGTGTCGATCCGCAATTCCTGACAGCAGCAGTGAACAGGCCAGACAAGTCAACTGTTATTTCTGAGCACCAGACTAGATTCCTCAGGAAATAAAAAAAAAATTCCATTCCCTGTATTCAGTTGTCATCATTTGTTTATTTTTTTACATTATTTTGTTGTGATACATCATATCCACATTAACCACTCTAAAACCAATCCAAATCACGGTTCTGGAACATTTCTCTGTGAAACACGAAACCCATTGAATAAAGGTGACTCCTCTTCTCCTGGTGGTGGAAAATGTGCCCCGATACAAGACACGGTGCATGCTGGGAGCACAACATGGTTGTTCTGACCAAGAAACTTCCAGCACCAGCGCATCCTGTGGCCCATCAAATGCTTTGCCTTCGTACTGCTGCTTGGAGGTCATCCATGCCACCTGTAATCCATATGGGTCGAGGCACACAGCATTGAGTCCATGATGGTCGGTGATGCAGTCCAGCACCTGATTTGAAGTGTTCCTCTCCTTGTCGACGTACAGTCACTACTTCTTGAATTTCATGGCAGCAAACACATTCAACTGCTGTCGGCATTTGAAGCGGACTTACATGGGACACCAGAAAAGAGCCAATCTCTCTTTTTCGTGAAAGGATGCTACAGCCTCTTGTTGCTTTTAAGCTTAGCTTGAAGCAGACGAGTGCACATTGCAGCATGACGTCTTTGATCCACTGGTGAAAAGGACACTTTGATTCGCTCCTCTTTCATCTATAACTGCTTCAGACAACAAAGTGTATGCAGGAAAGTGGCAAAGAGTGCACGATCGTCTGTGTCTCGTGTTGTTTTGTATTATTTTGTCATTTTTTTGTTAACTTTTCTTTTGAGAGCGGCGCGGACACCCGCAGCGGCTCCTCTTGTTTTATGTTGAGAGGGAAGAAATTTCATCTGTGCTGTATGTTACAGTACATTTGACAATAAAGTTTATCCAATC